TTTTTTTTTTTTTTTTGTATTTTCAAATTTTTTTTTGTTTTCCTGCATCCCCCAACCCCGCGCAAAAAAAATAATTTTTGTATTTTCAATTTTGTGTTTTCTGCTTCACCCTCCCACCCCAACCCCCTTACCCCACCCGCAAAATATTTTTCAACTTACACATTTTAAATACTAATTTGTTATTTAAGAAAATATACTTTGATTCTCAAAATACTAATAGTATTTATTTACATTTTATACATAGGTGTATAAAAGATAAAATGTTTTGTTTATGCAAAATGAGCATGGTTCTAAAACATGCGTCAAGTTGGGCTATGACCCATTGTTTAGCCCATCTTGACCCAGCCCATCTTAACCCAAGTAAACTTTGGGCTGAGTTGGGCAATTACCCATTTATTGACCTAACCCATCTTGACCCGCCCATTTGCCACCCCTAATCCCATCTTAAAAAGACACGTGGCTGGCCCTAATTAGATAACATTAAGATCCGCCGTATTTTATTATTCAAACCCACCCGGCCCATGTTCTTTGTTTTTCGCTGCCTCTTCTTTCTCAAACTTCTCCGTCTCCCGCAAAACCTTCAGGAAATTCGGAATAAATATATATATTCTACACGTAATCAGTCTTAAAATCAAAAGCTCATCACCACTCGCACGATATCCTTCACTTCTTACAATACAAAATTTATGAAAATTAAACAAATACAAATGCCTTGAGCTTCAATATACTATGCACACAAAGGAGTTCTCGTAAACATTAATTATTGTTTAAATAATAAGTACATTATTACCTTTACCACAAACAATTTTGCAATGCACATATTTTGTGGTTTTTAGTACACAATCATAAAACTTTATCGAATTTGAACTGAAATTAGACAGATCAAATCAGAAATTAGATATACAAACAAATATGGAAATTCCAAAGTGAAAGAAAATGAAATTGCAGGCCATTTGTTTCAGGAGACGAAACGCGACGGACTTCCTTGCAACTCTAGCATAACAAAGAGGAGCTTCTGGCGCCGCCATAGGCTCATAGCCGATTAATTGGATTAAAATTTCAATCGTGCCTTAACAAGGAGAGAGGTAGTTGAGATCAGTGTTTTAAAAGGCGTGGGCGTAAGACGAGACATTTTACATATGCCTCAGCGATGCGTAAGCCCTGAGACACAGGGCATAAGCCTCATGAGTGTTTAATTTTTAATATTTTATAAAATAATATAATTACAATAAATATTTATAAACAGGTAAAAATTACATAAAACTTGAAGAAAACTATAAATATGTGAAATATATATGTGTGTGTGCGCGCACACACTCCATTCCCATAAAAAACTAGTCAAAATAATCTATTATACGCAATTTACAAGCACAAGTAACTTGAGTCGACAAGAATAAAGTTTTTTACATGGAGAAACAAAAAGGATGACTAACCTGCAATTTGAACTTTGAACTTGCTGCTACGAAGGAGAATGTAGTTCTCTTTATATTTGTTAAAAAGATTTAAATATTCGTTGCTTTTGGGAGACACTAGCAGACTAGCGGACAAGATAAAGAATTGAAAAATACCATAAATTAGGGATTCAATCAATAAAAAAAGTCTTGACTTTTAAATTCAATACATTTCAGTTCCTTTTTAAAACTTTTGACTAATTACAAGCTGACTTTTGAGAATTTGGGTAATATATGAAAGACTTATTCAACAAATTTTATTTTAATTTGAAAAAGTCTCTGGGCTTACGCCTCACTACAAAAACGCGCCTCAAACGCCCGGGCGTACGTATAGAATGATTGGGCGTACGCCCAGAGGCGGATGCACGTAGGCCCAAGCAGTGTCACGTGACACCGCTTCGTCGGAAAATTTAACTAATTTATTTTGTGGCAGATTATACGCAAACGCAAAATAACGTATAATAAAAGTAAAGTAACACCACTTAACAAATCTAGTTTTCAGTCCAGTGGTCGAGGGTCCGGTTCTCCGAGTGTTCGATTCTACATGCCTGCATGATTTCACCAATTTGAGTTTATTTTTGCTAATAAAAAAGAGGTTCAGTTAGCACGGATTATAAAATCTAATCAGTAAAACTTCTTTTCGCAATTTTTATATGTGTTGGCTTGCTGCTACTATCACCGTCTACCGATTAATTATGACACCGCTTACGAAAAATTCTGCGTACACTATTGTGTACGCCCCTTGAGTCTTTCGCCTCACACCATCGCCTAAGGGCATTTTTGATGTGCCTCGCCCCAGAGCTCGAGCTCCAAAAACGCCTATTAAAATACTGATTGAGATATTAGTATCGATTGGGTGAGTCTGATCAAATTGGGTGGGCCTTTTATATCCAACCAGGGCAGCCACATGTCTTTTTAAAGATGGGTCTAAGCCATTTAATGGGTATAGGCAAATATAATCCAAAAGAATGACAGTATGGATAGTTACACTAACAAACTAAAACGAAGGGTAAATATAGCTTATTTTAACAGTAAAGGAGCAAATATGACCCTTTTCCATTGAATAAATATAACAGTTGCTCCGCAATCTTGATGCAACCCATTTTGATGTAATTAG